GCGTGTGTGTGTGCGTGTGCATGTGTATGTGTGCGTGCGTGTGTATGTGTATGTGTATGTGTTTGTGTGTGTGTGTGTGTGTGTGTGTGTGTGTGTGTGTGTGTGTGTGTGTGTGTGTGTGTGTGTGTGTGTGTGTGTCCAGTAGTTTGAGCACTGGACTCCAACCCTCATAGTCCCGAGTTCAATTCCCCGTCGCGGCGGTCGCAAAAATGTCTGCATTCCGACTGCTGGCTAGAGCCCGATCTCACATCAAGGAAACGACATATCGCCTTGAGAAGTCAAACACAGGTATCGTAGGGGAAGTCACCGCCGTGGGACAAGTGTTAGCGCGCCGAACCGCGGTTGATTAGGAAGGGCATTCAATCAGGCAAGGGTGACAACGCCATATAACCACTCAATACTGAATTGAGAGAGGCCTATGTCCTGCAGTGGAATGAATGGCTGTTGAAAAGAAGAAAAAAAAAAAAAAAAAAAAAAAAAAAAAAAAAAAAAAAAATATATATATATATATATATATATATATATATATATATATATATATATATATATATATATACATAATGTATGTATATTGATATTATGTGTATATATATATATTTTTTTTAACTGCCATTCATTCCACTGCAGGACATAGGCCTCTCTCAATTCAGTATTGAGTGGTTATATGGCGTTGTCACCCTTGCCTGATTGAATGCCCTTCCTAATCAACCGCGGTTCGGCGCGTTAACACTTGTGCCACGGCGGTGACTTCCCCTACGACACCTGCGTTTGACTTCTCAAGGCGATATGTCGTTTTCTCGGGCACGAGCTAGTAGTCAAAGCGTAGGCATGTTTTATGACTGCCGCGACGGGAATTGAACCCGGGACCACGAGGGTCGGAGTCCAGTGCTCTAACCACTGAGCTATTAATTAACACACACACATACACACACTCTCTCTCTCTCTCTCTCTCTCTCTCTCTCTATATATATATATATATATATATATATATATATATATATACACACACATACACACATCTCTCTCTCTATATATATACATATATATACATATATATATATATATATATACAGATACATATACATATATATATATATATATATATATATATATATATATATATATATATATATACAGATACATATACATATATATATATATATATGTATATATATATATATATATATATACAGATACATATACATATATATATATATATATATATATATATATATATATATATATATATATATATATATATATGCAAAAGAAAATGAAAAACCTCCCTTTCTTGACATATTGGTATCCACAGAAAACGGACGCCTTTCTACTATGGTTAACAGAAAACCTAATTTCACTGGCTTGGGAATGAAACATGTAGGTTTCACACCTCATGAAATATAAAATCACCACTCTGATCAACAGAGCATATAACATATGCTTCACCCGCCATACATATAGTACTATTACTTTCTACTCATATGTTATTACAGTAACATTACTTCACACATACCAAACTCTCTAAAAGACATAAGGGATGCAACATCCAGAGGCCTCCCACCTTGCGATGTCGCTCTGCTTACACGAACACATTCTCGCTCTTCTGCAACATGTAGACCTGAATAAAAGAGGGTCACATGCGAGCGACATTCAGACAACCAATAGCAATCTGATCAGATAGAACCTCTGCCAGTCAGCTGTACTATTCTCTCCGTAATAAACCTGTAACTGAGCAAAGGGGCTGCCACACCTTCACCATTACCCAAGATTACCGCATCGTACCAGATGCTACTCTGCACTTTACCGCTGATCGGCCTCGTTACAGTGGTGGCAGCGGCAGGATGAATCCGCATGGCGAGGAACTTGGCTTGGTATAGGAATGTTTTGTGTGGTCTGCGTCCTTGGTAAAACGTGGGACAGCTGGGGGCCTTCGAAAATCTGCACAGCGTTTTCGGCAACAGAGGAGAGGGTGTTGAGGGGTCAGCAGCAGGTGCTGAGAGTGGCGTGACTTGCTGTGTCGCAATTCAGCAGCTAGGCGGGTAGCGTCGGTTATCCGACCTTAGGGAATATCTCAGCAGGAAGACTGGCTTACACTATGGCGAAGTATTGCGTGCTTGGCAGGATGTGTTGATGAGGAGCAGGAATTTCGGAGGAGTTCATTGTCACCACTAAGCCACCATTTGAAGGAGCCTGAATGATGGGCCCTATAAAAGTATGGTAGATCGGCAGCTTAGGGTGTAAGGTAGACAATCAAGATGTCTTGACTCCTTTTTTTGTGATTGATGATGGATTGCGGCTGCTCCTAGGAGCGAGGTGTATTTATATAGACACACATACACACACACACACACACACACACACACATATATATAT